TAGCTGTTCGGCTATGTGACTGCTGGTTGGTAAATTGTCTGGGTCTTTTCCTAGGAGCACGGTCACAAGAGCAGGGCTCTCTGCCTTGTTCATCGTGCAGTATGGGACCTGGGAACTGGTAGGAGTCCCATAGACCCTTGCTGAAGACCTACGTGAATGAAGCTAAGGGACGGGAGAGAAGCTTTCGGGTTGAGAGCTGGGTCCGTAGCATTCATTCGTCCTGAGTGGTAACTAGACCCTTGCTGCTCTCTGCCCACCACCCTCAGATCTCAGCCACAGTGCTGGCTTCCCTCCATCAACGGCGGGGACTCAGGTAGTTTCATTTGGATGTTAATGGCCAGGGCCTCCAGAAGCTTGCAGAACTTAGGGACAATCAATTTCCATGTTTGTAAATAATTATCTTCCGCACTTGACATAATGCCGTCATGGGGATGGACAGCAGGCGGCCAGCAGCAAGCCTTTCCCTTGGTTCGATGCCCAGTAAATGTTTATTGAATTGAAGTTAAGTCATGGGAAGGGAATATTTGTGAGGTGCAAAAGGTGCAAAAGGGAGGGGAATATAATGGTTGAGGCTCTGGGCTCTGATTCTACGGACACTGAAATTCAAATGTACCAGTGAAACCTCAGGGAGATCTATCAGTATCACCCTGACATTCTTAATAAATAGCTCAGCTTTTTTTTTTTTTAAACAAACTTCCCTTTATGGTCCTCAGGTCCTCCTCATTTGTATGCAGCCTGGGGAACTGAACACCAGACCCAGATTGATACCGTGACATTTAAACCTTACCCGTGACATTTTCTGGAAGCTCTGCAGAGCCATAATGCTGCCTCCAGGGTGGGGCAGTGGTTGGGGTGGGGCTGAGCATCCGCGGTCCCGGCTCCGTGGCCAAGCTTAAATCTGTTGCAGGCTCGTGAGTTCACAGGGGATGTTAAGACATAGTAGGGGCTGGGGAGGACAGTGTGTCCCCAGCCCTGACACAAACCGGAGCTTGACCTCGTGGAGAGGACACTGAACGATTTGGGTGTCAGAACATCTGAGTTCCAACATGTCCACTGGCTGCATGACCTTGAGCCAACTTGCCTCACTGGTCAGCGAAGTCGTTCAGAGGACTAAACGAGACATACATGTACACATCGTTTATTTTTTTTAAGATTTTAAATATTTATTCATGAGAGACACAGAGAGAGGCAGAGACACAGGCAGAGGGAGAAGCAGGCTCCCTGCAGGGAGCCTGATGTGGGACTCGATCCAGGGACTCCAGGATCATGACCTGAGCCAAAGGCAGATGCTCAACCACTGAGCCACCCAGGTGTCCCTACAAGTAGTTTAAAAGTGGAGATTACCAAGGCCCTTCAAATGAATATACTAGAAACAAGTTTGCCTGCTAGCAAACAGAATGCCTCGTGCTGGGAGGTGGGCCTCCGTCAGAAGTGCTCTGTTGGTGAGCGTCCCCTTGGCAAGCACCTGATGATCCACTTTGGTGAGACGTGCGTGGTCAGAGTCATCAGCCCCACATCGGACCGGTTGTAGCACTGGTTTCATCCCCGAGGGCAGAGAGTCTCTGACCACTGGTGTCCAACCAGGGCCTTCTCTTGAAGGCTTTGGAAAGGCCTGCTGATCTTGGAGCGGGCATCCTGGAGGGACCCTCTCTGTTTGCAGCTCTCAGCTCTCCTGTGGAGGCATAAAGGGGCCACATGGTGATCTGCCCTTTGAAGTCTACACTGGGGTTAGATGCCCCGGTACAGGGTAGGGCCACATCTCCTCTGACCTTAAATCATGTGTTCGGGTTGGGATTGGGCTCCACACAATAGAAGCTCTTCTCTGTTCACCTAACAGTCACGGGCAGGTGTTCAGGTGGTGGGTTCTTTCAAGGCCTCAGGCTGAAGAAAGCTCTCCCATCCTCAGCACACGGCTTCCATGGCCACCATGGTGTTCCTGATGCAGCCAATTGGAAGGAGGAAGAGCATGGAGGTGGGAACTGGGGGACTCATAGGATAGGCCTGAAGAGACCCTTTTCTTCATTTCCCAATGGCTAGAACCAGCCACACGCCTCAGTCACTGTGAGGGAGATAGGGAAGTGACTCAGAGAAAAAGAGGAAATGGATTCTGATGACATGCTGTTTGCCACATCCAGGGTCAGAGTCTAGTAGGAGGCGAGTGCCCGGCTCATGCTTGCTGACTAAACATGCCCAGTGAAGAGCTTAGCTAGTTTATGCAGTGATGGGAGCATCAGCAGAAACATGGTCTTCAGATAATCTGTCAAAAATTGTTGATTTTCTGGGACACCCAGGTGGCTCAGTGGTTGAGCATCTGCATTTGGCTCAAGGCGTGACCCCGGGGATCCTGGGATCGAGTCCTGCGTCGGGCTCCCCGCAGGGAGCCTGCTTCTCCCTCTGCTTATGTCTCTGCCTCTCTCTGTGTCTCTCATGAAAAAATAAATAAAATCTTTAAAAAAAAATTGTGGGTTTTCTGCTCACAGTTTCTGCTCACATATCTCATCAGGTTGAAAAACACTTCATGGAATGCATATCGTCCCCACTGTGTCCTGGGTGCTAGGCTACATGCTAGAGATGCCCCTCCGGATAACACCAGGTTCCTGCCTGCGAGGCGCTTACGGCCTGTGTGACCAAGGACACATCCCGTGTCTGTATATTCAACTGGCTACGGTTCCACCAGAAAGCCACATACTGGTAAATTCATAACCGGGGTTGCATCCCCTTTGGTGGATTTATCTCAAATCCTTTAAACACTGAACCATATGTTGAAACCCTCGATGGACTATTAATCAAAATTGTGTTCTGGGCTCTGGAGCCCTGATTGAAAACGCATCTGCGTAAGTAGCCTTTTTGGAAAAATTGCACATCTTACATTGACGCAAGCAATCAAGTCTTCCCCACCCTTCACAATGGAAAAACAGAAACGGCAGCTCATCCAGATGAAAAACAGGATGATTTTATTCTAATGAGAATGCGGGGCTAGCGCAATTACAGACAAGTGTGCAACATTAGTGAGGTCTTTCTATTTTGGCGAGTAGTTATGTGAAAATACCCTTCGGCTTTCCCGCTGCCTTGTGAGGCTCAGAAATGAATGGCTCTTGATGTATTTGAATGTAATCATGAGAACATCTCACGGTACCAGTCTCCACTTTATAGAGGGAGCTGGATTCTCCGGAACAGCGAAGACACGGAATCTGCGAGCCAGAGGACACAGGTGGAGCCCAGGCTGACAGCAGGGACAATCTAGGGTGAGGCCATCGGCCCGTCACCTCTCTACACAGATGCCCCTTCAGGTTAGCCACCTGAGAGCCTAAGAGGGACAGGAACCTGTACCTTGTGGAAGTCGGTTCCTGAATCTCTGCTACTCTTACTCGGCTTTGTTAGGAGGAATAAAATTAATTCACATTTATGCCTTTCCTGCATCCATCCTGGAATTTACACCTGCCCGTCAGGCCTGCCAGTGGTGGGGACTGGCGTGAGGATGAGATCGGGCCATAGAAGGTGATGGATTAGAGTCTCCTGATGTTTTAAGCTCTGAATCTGGAGATAGGGATCTGTCTTGCCCATTTGAAGTTAACGTGTTGTTAATAAAAAATGTCTGATTTTTTTAAAAGATTGATTATTTATTTATTTACTCATGAGAGACACACAGAGAGAGAGGGAGGCAGAGACATAGGCAGAGGGAGAAGCAGGCTCCATTCAGGGAGCCTGATGCGGGACTTGATCCTGGGACTCTAGAATCACACCCTGAGCTGAAGGCAGACACTTAACCACTGAGCCACCCAGGCATCCCTCAATTATATATATTTTTTAAAGGTTTTATTTATTTATGCATGAGAGACAGAGAGAGAGAAAGCGGGGGGAGGGGGCGGGCAGAGACACAGGCAGAGGGAGAAGCAGGCTCCACGCAGGGAGCCCGATGCGGGACTCAATCCTGGGTCTCCAGGATCACACCCTGGGCTGAAGGCAGGTGCTAAACCACTGAGTCACCCAGGGATCTCCCAAAACTCTGATTTTTGAAGGAGAAAGTGAATGTGTGCATAAGTGAAGGCACACACCCCACAGTCAACATTAATATTCTAATTATATAAGGGATTAACTTATTTTAAATTTATTTCTTGCTCTTGATGTGTGCTGGCTAAACAACAGCTAATTCCGTTTTTAAGACGCCAGACTCTATTTCCCCAGGGAAGCAACAGACCTGCATCCTCAGAGGTGTAAACATCTAATTATAGAGGTAACACACACACACACACGCACACACACACACACACAGGCTGTTAGGATGTCAAATGCTGTGATGACTTAGAGTTTTGTTTTGAATTTCAAGTTTAACTAAGGTAACCATACCTCCCTCTGCCCCTCTTTGTTCCCCACTGAATGGCCAAGAAGAGAAACTTCCCAAATATTCCTGAGAAAGAGAGAAGAGAGTGAAACTCACCTGCCATAAATCTTTCAAACTCTGAGGAAAAAAAAAAAAAGACGGGGACTTTGCTGTGTTTGGAGACCTAACGGGAGAGGAGACTGCCCATGAATTCATGGAAGGTCTCAGGTGTGTCAGACTCCACCAGCCCCAACCTGGGCCATAGGTGTAATAGATGCATTACGCCTGCCCACACTCAGGCTGTTCTCACAGGGCCATGACTACCCTCCCCACCCCTGAATTCACAATAGTTGAGTAGGACTTAAAGTGATCTGCTGGGTCAGCACCTAAGAAGGAGAGGAACGGAAGGGAGTGGAAGGGAGGGAGAGAAGGATGATACTGAGTGAAAATAAAGTATCTCCCCACCCGTCACCAAGAGAGGAGCCCATGGGAGCTGCATAACCCCTGCCCCCCTGCTGGCCAAGGCATTATTCCTGCCACCCGGTGAAGAATTATACTTGCTGCTACAAAGAATATACACATTTGAAGTTCTATTAAATGTTCTTAGTTTGCAGAAAGTTAGAACCAATGAAAACCACTCACACAAAAACAGAATACTAGCTTAAAAAAATCATTGGAATCATCAGGTAGGAAAATCTTTACTAGTTCCTCCTTTTAGAGGGCAGATGGAACATGATGATTGAAGTTTGCATGATTTGTGATTAGCATCTCCGCATAATCAGGACTTCAGCACCCTGATTGCTCCTATTTGCTTCTTTCTAAGAAAAAAAAATCATTGGTTACTGTGACAGGTAAAGCTCTTTTCATGTTTTCTCATTCTGTTCAATTCCTTTTCTTGTAAAATTCAATTTACAACCTTTGCCCACTTTTCTTTTGTCTCTTAATTATCGATTTGTAAGAGTTTTTTCTATAAGAAGGATATTAACTTTTGTCAATTTTGTTATAGATAATTTATCATAGGTCTTTCAACTATTTGGTCACGTAGAAATCATTTTTATTATTACTTAGCTATTTACATTTTCATATACACCCATTATTTTCCTTTAAGGGTTTCTGGCTTGGCAGTTACAGTCAGAAATTCATGTTCGTTTTAAAATTACAGAAGTATTCACTAAGATTTTCTCCCAGGAGGGGCGTCTGGTTGGCTCAGTCTGTGAAGTGTGTAACTCTTGTTCTCCAGGTTTGAGTATGAGACCCACATTGAGTATAGAGATTATTTAAAAATAAAATCGTTTAAAATAAATTAATAAAATTGTCTCCCAATAGTTTCATTTTTTAAAATATGCATATTTAAATCTTTACTGTCTGCGGGCATATGATGTGACTTCAGGTTTTAACCTTTTATCCCCCCTCAAATGCTTTGTTAGTTTTCCTAATAACCTCAATTGGATTTTTTCTCATTTTCTCATTGTTTTAAATTCATATGGATGTTTGGACCTATTAGTGGACTTCCAATCTGTCTGTCCTGGTGCCAATTGTACGGTTGCTCTACAACTTTAGAGATTATTAGGGTATGTCCCAATCATTACTTTTCTATTTTCAATTTTTTTTCTATTCTCATGTTTTCTTACAACTGAATTTTACATTTATATGATCTTTACCTTTTTTCAAGAAGAGTCTTGTTTGGTATATGCTGTAGTGAGAATAATGCTCCCTACCCACAAAAGACGTTCATGTCCTAATTCTCAGGACCTGTGAAACTATTAACTGCCCTGACAAAGGCAGATTAGATTAAGGATCTTGAGGTGGGAAATGATGGGTCATCTGGATGGGCCCAGTGTAATCATAAGCGTCCTTTTAAATGGAAGAGAGAAGCATCAGAGGGAGCTGGCAGGATGGGTGAATGGTCAGAGAGTTGCAACTGTGCTAGCTTTGAAGACAGAAGAAGGAGCCACAAGACCAGGAATATGGATGAGTTCTAGGGGCTGAAAAAGGCAGAGAAGAGGTATCTCCCCTAGAACCTCCAGAAGGAATGCAGTCTTTTATTTTTGGACCTCTCACCACTAGAATTTTAAGAGAATAAATCTGCATTGTTTAAGCCACTAAGTTCATGGTGCTTTGTTATGACAACAGTAAGCAACTAAAAGGGTATACTTTCTAGATTCCTCTATACCTGAGAATCTGTATGTTGCTCTCACACATAAACAATAGCTTGATAACTTAAAGAACTGGGTTACAATAATTTTCCCTCAGAATTGTAGAGATATTGATATGTTGATTTTTCGCGTTTTGTCCTGCAAAAGATAAGTTTGAAGCCAATCTGACTGCATGTTCACCTTTAAAAGGTTTTCCTTAGGTCTAGGAATAAAGTCCCTTTACCCTTGAAATACATCATCATGATCTATGGGTCTCTTTCTACTCATTTTTCTTGGTGTTGGTAGACCCTTTGACATGTAGGCTTGTATCTATCTTCAACCAAGAAAATTGTTTGGATATTATTTCTATGACTACTGAATCTACTCGCACTCAACATTATCTGCTTCTTAGAATTCCCTTCATAGTTAGAGTTGGTTTTTTGTCTCTACTATCAACATCTCATGCTGTTGGGTTTTTTTTCAATCAACTGCTATAATACAGTATTTTATTACAGTTTAGCATTGCATGTCTCTCCATACTTCTCAGGGCAAAATGAAGCAAGATATATCAGAAATCAACAGCACACCAAGATCACAACCCATGGGTCCATGGTGTATATGCTACAATCTAGGTGACGCTAGGCTGCTGGCTTTCACACCATCGAAAACGCACTTTGTATTTGTTTCATTTTGTGCAAACATAGTTCTTGGATTGAACCAATGTGATTACTAGACAACTAATACCATGATTTGCACATTAATGGCTAAGTAAAATCAAACCTATATATAATAAAGCTGACTGAGCTCATTTCATACTTCCTGCTTTGGGAACTTCCACCTAAAAGCATTTATAATGAGTCATGTGTTCAAACACAAGCTCAAGTGAAGGGGAATAATGGGAAGTGGAAGCCAACAAAAGCATCAGGATTTTTCTGGAAATGACTCAGAAAAGGCTTTTAAAGAAAGGTTTTCATCATGGCTTCATGAAGTGCAGCATCTTATGACTAAGCTTATTCCAAATGAAGCATAAATACTTACATGATGCAAGAGTTCTGGATAACAGAAAAGTGGATTTACTCTATCCGAAGGTTGGTCTCCATAAAAAGTAGGTGAAAATATCATTATATGTATATGACAAATGACTCCAAGAAAAAGCCACTCAATTTATTTAGAGTATATAAGAGTCCCGACTTCGATAATCCCAAGTAAACTGTGTTCTAGGAACAGGATTATTGGAGATTGATGACATATATTTCTTACAGAAATCCAAACCAAATTAAATTAAACCTGGGCATCAGGGGGCACAAAAATTACACAAAACTTTAGGGTAGCTTTTGTTGACTTTGAAAACTTAACACTTTAAAAAACTCTCCCATGGAGACCTTCTAGAAGCTCCTGACCCAATGAGACGTAGATTACTTCAGATTAACAGGGATGTAATTGATGCCCTTCTAAGCTTCTAATTTAATACACTTATTTTAGTTCTGGGTGTGTTCCCAAGAGGGTACCAGGTGTAGAAGTGATGTAGACAGTCAAGGCTGGGAATGGGTGTTGGGTGAAAACCAGGTGTAAAGAAATCTTCCTCCAAGATTTCTGCTGAGGCATGTTAGGAGTGGAAATGCTTAGGACCACAGCTCCCCATGTCTGAATGAACTCACCATTGCCGCCATTACCCACCACAGCAGACACCTGATGGTCAGCCTACACTTGGCCCTCCCTCACTCTAACTCCACTCTGTTATCACCATTATGACAACCTCAGTTGAGGTCTTCCTAACTTCTCATCTGCCCACTTGAGGGGCCATTATTGTTAAAAATGGGCCATTGATTTGAACAGACACTTCACCAAGGAAGACAATGGCCAATTAGCACTGGAAAAAGATGCTCAGTGTCACTGGTCTTCTGGAAAGTGAAAATCAAAACCACAACAAGATATCACTTCAGACCCAAATTAAAATAAATAATACCAAGAACATCAGAAGTTGGCCCGGATGTGGAGCAACTAGAACTCTGACACATCGCGGGTGAGAGAATAAGCAATACAACCACTTTGTAGGGCTCTGGGTGGTTTCCTGTAAAGCTGAACACAAGTTCACCCTGTCTCAGAGAATCCCCTCCTAGGTGTTTACCCAAGAGAAGTGAGAACATATGTCTACAAGAAGCCTCATACAAGAACATTCATAGCAACTTTATTTATTATAGCCCCAAACTGGAAGCAATCCAAACGTTCGTTAGCAAGAAAAATGACAAACAGATTGTTGTTTATTCATACAATGGAGTATGTCTCAGCAATAGAAAGAAATAAACCACCGATGGATTGTGAAGACATATGGAGGGCAAAAGAAGCCAGACAGTTCCACACCGTACAGTTGCATTTATATGAAGTTCAAATACAGGCAACACTAATCTATACGGTAAGAGAAACCGGAATGGTGGTTGCCTCCGGGAGTAAGAACGATTAAAGGCTTGGGAATTATTTTCTATTCTATTTGTGTGTCGAAACTTATAGAACCAAACACGATCTGTGGGTGTTCTCGTTTTTCACTTAGGATAAAAATACACAGAATATATTTATTGCTCTTATTTTTGGCAATTTTAGCCTGTACTTGATAAATCTTTTCAAGGTGTAGAATGGAGTTTTCCTTAAATCAAGAAATTCGTATTCTAGCACATGCTATTCCTTCTTTTCCATGGCTTCTTATCTCTTCCTCAGAAATTCCAATTACCTGAAATTTTTCACATTCTCCAGTGCTCCACTTTTTTGTCCTTCTCGTCTGCATTCTGAGAGAACTTCTCAGCTGTTCCTCCCCATCACAGAGAGCGCTTCTTCTGTTTATGGCTTCCATGTACAGATTTTAATTCTGAGATTTATCTAGCGTCTAACACTACTCTCTCAGTGCATACAGCTCCCTTGCCATCTCTCCTGCTGACGCGGAAACGAAAAACCCAGCCTTTGGAATCAGATCTTGTTTGTCAGTATGGGCTCCAGCCTATACGTAGGATGTCAGGCAAATTAATTTAATTTAATGTGCCTGTTTTTCTAATCTGCAAGATGAGGATGGGAGCTGTAACCACTTCATAGTATTAATTGTCACAATTTTGTGAGCTGACGATTGTACAATACTTAGCCCAGCTCTGGGCATAAAGTACTGAATAAATATTAGCTTCCAGCAGAAGCAACAGCAGCAGCAGGAGCATCTTCATCATGGCTGGGCTGGCCTTCCTCCTGACAACTATTCCATTTCAAGCTATTCACTACTCACCTTCTAGGGCTTTCATACCCTGGCTGATGCATGGCGGACGTCCAGCGAGCATCTGTCAAAGAAACAGATAAATTTGCTCCTTTATTTCTATCATCTACTCTGACACTGTAGTGTAGCGTCACTGCGTTTTTTGTTGTTAATGAAACTCAATTATTAATGAAAATCTATTCTTGGAACAGGTTTTAAAACAATGAATCAATTCCTCTCCCCAGAAAAAATATCATTACAACGTCACCTCGACAGCGCTTGAACAAAGAACCCATCAGGAGTGGAAAACTGATTCAGACAGACATTATAACAAGACCACATTGGAATTAGTTTTCATGAAATAGGAATTTGGAGGGAGGGGTATGCCTGGTGGCACTGGTTATTAAAATTTTATTCTTTAAGATTTTCAAGACATAAAAAAAGATTTT